AACGGGTAAAGATAATGGATGGATGGATGGATAGTTATGTTAGTTTCTGTTTATCTATTAAATTACTGCATTTTCTCCAAATACTACAGTAACATCTTCATACTCTTGAATGCTAGACAAATGACAGTTTTAAATTCTGACAAATGCATGATGTCTGTATTGCTGTGAAATAAACACACTATAAAATTTGATATATTCTATATAACTGAAAAAAATCTTATTGCTAGTCTCTTCATTTTTGCTAAACAGTCTTTTCTTGTGCCAATATCCAAATTAAGTGTTAACTTAATGTGGCTTTAATCATTTTACATGTAATTTGAAGTCTTTCAAAAGATGGAACCGCAAACAGAGGTGAGACTTTGACAATATAAAAAATAATAAAATGTCATGTCATAAAGAACATGCTCAATAATTTCATTTTTTGAAAACAAACTCTTAAGTTAAAAATGTGATTGCACAGCATGTGTCTGTCTGTTTAGTGCTGTTTAACATGTTGCGCAGGTTAAAAGAGACAGCTAGATTACATAAGTGACATGCTGAGTTTCATTCATGCATTTTGATTCTTTTTGTTTCAACGTGCTGTTTCAATCAGAAGTTTCCATTCATTTTGTTCAGCATACACCATGAGCATGAATTACATTAGTTTGGGAATTTAATTACAGTATTTAGTTAAACTTCTCTTTCTTCAGAGTGAACTTATAATGTGTTCTGGAACACTCCACTTCAATTGCCTAGGTGGTGATTTGAGGTAAAGTTGGCATATTTGAAGGTAAGCCTCCCTCTCCAATATTCTTTAAGAGGGAGGCTCTTATACATATCCATGCATGACAAATGGTACAATGTTTGAAAGCATCCAAACATACTTTTAGCCATAGTGGCCAAGGAGCTCAATCTTTGTCTCTAAACTTCTCTCAAGAAGGTTTGGCCATTTAGCTTTTTTCATGTGAGCAGCTGCAAATTTCAGTCAGACTTGAAGTTGCTGTCTTCGACACCTTCACAGTCCACGATGATGTAAAACATTTAACAGTGGACACCTGTGTTCCAGCAGTTTCCAGTTCATGGTGGGTTTGAGCTTTGATAGTTCCTGGGTTAATCCAGAACATCCTAAACACATTTCTCTTTTAGATCTTCACTGAGTTCCTTAGACTTCTCTACTGTTTTGTCAATCCAGTAAGTGCTGTCCAACAAATCATTCATGCTGGCAAAGAGAAATCACCAGATGCAGTCAGTCTTTATCACTAATAAGAAGTTAATAGGCCTTGGTCTTGTCAAGTTCAGAACTTCAGCACCTACAGTATTAAGAGTTAAGTGAATATATGTACTGTATGTTATGTATGTATGTATATTAATATGTATTAATATGTATGTTAATTTTGGTGATATTATTTACATGAACGCTCCTACAAGAACACTGCAGATGTTGGATGCTGTCTATCATGGTGCACTAAGATTCATAACTGGCTGTGATTATCGTACCCACCACTGCACCCTGTATTCACTGGTTAACTGGACATCATTAACTTCACGCAGACTCTCTCACTGGTACATTTTCATCTTTAAATCACTTCTTGGTCTGCTGCCTTCATACATCTCCTCCTACATGTCTCTGCGTGAGTGCAGCTACGGAGTGCGCTCTCAGGACATTATTACCTGCAGTGTTCCCTCAGTGAGGACTGAACTAGGCAAAAGGGCCTTCTCCTACTCCGCTCCTGTTTCCTGGAATATCTTACAAAAAGATTTGAAGCTCTCGACCTTGACCTCTCTAAGTGGCTTTAAGAATCTGTTGGACTCCTGGCAGGGACCAATGCTGACATGTTCCTGTTTTTAGTTTTATACATTTGTCTTGGAATCTAGCTGTTTTTTTTGTTTGTTTGTTTTGTTACCTTTTCCTTTTAGCCATCCTATTTGTTAAAAAAAAAAAAAAAAAAAAAAAAACTGTAGTATGAGTTTTTATAACTGCTTATTGTTGTTGCTGTTGTCCATTGTTGTCATCTTTCTTTGTTGAAATCAGGTCTCTCTTGTAAATGAGTCCTCGAGGCTCAATGGGATTTACCTGTATAAATAAAGGTTGATATTAGAAACATATCTAAAAATGATGCATAAAAACTGGTCCATGCATTTGTCACGTCTAGACTGGACTATTGCAATGGTTTATTATCTGGGTGTCCAAATACGTCTTTAAAACGTCTTCAGTTGATCCAAAATGCTGCTGCCAGAGTCTTAACCGGAGTTAATAGGAGAGATCATATCTCTCCAGTTTTAGTTTCTCTCTATTGGCTCCCTGTCAAGTCCAGAATTGAATTCAAAATCTTACTTCTAGCCTACAAAGCTCTCAACAACCTAGCTCCATCTTATATTACAGAGCTTATTGTTCCATATTTTCCTAACAGAGCACTTTACTCTCAGGCTGCATGTTTACTCACAGTTCCTAGAGTTTCCAAAAACAGAATAGGAGGCAGAGCTTTCATTTATCAGGCTCCTCTCTTGTGGAACCAACTTCCAGTTTCTGTCTGTGAGGCTGACACATTATCCAGTTTTAAAACTAGTCTTAAGACTTTCCTTTTTGATAAATCCTATAGTTAGTGTCGGCTTGGGTTTCCTGAGCTGTCCCTTAGTTATGCTGCTATAGGCTTAGACTGCTGGAGGACAAACTGACCACATTTCTTCACTCTGCTACTGTCTTTACTTACTCTGCTCAACCTGTTTTGTATTTGTAATTATTTTTTCAATCCTAACGTGTTTTTGTCTTTCAGGTACACCTGCACCTACATCTGGACCTACCATTCTGTGTTTGTTTCTCCTTCCTGTCCTCTCAAACCAGCCGGTCAAAGCAGATTGCCACTTGTCCTGAGCCTGGTTCTGCTGGAGGTTTCTTCCTGTTAAAAGGGAGTTTTTTCTTTCCACTGTTGCCACTGTGCTTGCTCAGGATGGAAGACTGTAACAAAGTGAAGATGCAACTTGTCTGCTGGCCTCCTTAGATAGAGAACTTTACTAATTGGCTTTTCTATGTATGTGAATATTCCTGTAAAGTGCCCTGAGACAACTTTATTGTGATTTGGTGCTATATAAATAAACTGAACTGAACTATGTATCATTTTGATTGGGTATTGCAAAAAAATCCATTAAATTCAGACTGGTCCACCCAGTTCTTGCGTTTAAAGGCATTAAATTGTATATTTCTTCCATAAAAAAGCAGTTCAACTTAATTTTTAAAAGACCAATACTAATGGTGGGAGAGTGGTGGCGCAGAGGAGGTTTTGCCTGTGATTGGAAGATTGTCGGTTTAAGCCCCGGCACCGACAACATCAAAAATGTGGGCAGGGGTAGGTGAAGCACCCACACCTGCCCCCAACCTCATTCGCCCCACCTTGGGCCCATGAGCAAGGCCCTTAACCCCCATCTGCTCCCTAAACAGGTCTCTCTTGAAAATGAGTTCTCGTGGCTCAATGACACTACCTGGATAAATAAAGGCTAAACGAAAAAAACTAATGGCATTCTTGCCCATGAGGAGTAGATGTAAACATACAACTGCAACTGTAAACTAAGGCACATCTCTGTCATTTAGATGGAAAACCTCAAGGCTCAAACATGCACAGATGAAGCTCTAGTCCACACCTACCAGACACATTATCTAACATCATTTGTTTAGGAGAGCAGCTCATTCTTTGTTTCTCTCTCTCAGACCTATCTGGTACATGACCAGTTTATTGCTCGTGTGCAGGGCCATAAAGTGCTCCAAGGTCATGCATGTTGGTGTACGTGACCTGCAGGCTGCTTTTGGAGCCGCGGAAAGAGATTTGTTCGCCTTCAAAGTGGATCAGTGTTTTGTAATGAATGCCTCTTCCCTCCTCTGTGAGTCTGCCTATTATTAGCTACGGGGGCCTGCTAGGGTCAGAGCAGGGATGGTTTCCTGACGGTCAGGGCTGCAGCTCTGCGCAACGCTTCCCAAACGCAGTGACTCATCTAGCAGAGCTGTTTTTTTTATTTTTTCTTCCACATCAGAGCTCGTTCGGCTTATTCCTCGTTGTTGATGCTCTTCTGCCTCGAAGATGAAGCTAAACGCGCGCAGCCGTCAGGTGCGCGCTCCGACTGACGGAGCCCTGCTTTTTACTGTCGCGTCCATCGATCGTGCACTTCCTCATGTTGCGGTGGCAGGGACTCTGGTTTAGAGCTGGAGTCAGTGGGAGCCGGATAAACAGGCTCAGGAGTCAGTGACGGGCTCTTACATAACATGTAATGCAGTAAAGCCTCATGACTCGGGTCTTGGAGGGACAGCTCGGTGCTTCCGGTAGGAAATTCACCATTTTATTGTTATATTTCTAACGGGTTATAAAGATGGATGCAAACGTATGCGGTGTTTGTGCATTTCAGCTGTCTCTATGCGGCTTGTGTAAAATTGCAACCCATATAAAATGATTTAATTCGAGGACTGCGCAGTGAACTACAGGCTATAAGAATAAGAAGGGCATGAATGGAAATGCAATATGTTGTATTTTTTATTTTTGTTTACAGAGGCAGCTTAAGGTCACACTGCGTGATGAAATGTGAGTCAAGTCTGCAGGGATGCAGCTTGTCTAGTCAATGAGACTGTTTGTTTTATGAATGACAACAAAGTGGCTTAAAGACAGGCTATGCCAAAAGTAATACATATACAATGGATCAGTCAGGTGATGCTTTTTGTGCAGGAGGTTGTAATATGAGAGCTGCCTGAATTCATTCATAGGAGAAGAATGAAAATTTTAAACATGAATGCCTTTCAGAATGTGTGATCTTGTAATGCTGCCAGTGTGCATGGAAACACTGCAATCCTGAATTCAATAAGGCCAGACATTTTGTTGGCTATCTGGGAACAGCAAATGTCTAAGACGTTCCTTCAAATACCTATTTTGGGTATTAAAATCATCATTTCATATGTTAGATATACATATGCATGTGAACTGCTGTAAGCAACCCTTCCTAAAATACAAAAAGGCTTTTCTTAAAGCTGATTATTTGGCTACATGGCTTGCTTTAAAGTCTGCCTTTAAAATAGTAACCTTTGCTTTTGTTTGCCGGCCTCTTTAAGATTCGGGGATTGTGAAATTGTGAATGAGTGCAGAGAAGTCACGAGACCACCCATTGATAGGTCTGCAGGCAGGCTGAGCGGTGCAGACGAGAGCTAGAGACTGAGCGTTGATCCGTGTAATGTTCAGTCCTCTGGTTCTCAACGTGTCTTTCTGTGAATCATTTTCACAGGCCGTACTCGACAGATTCTGATATGGACTATGAGAGGCCAAACGTTGAAACTATCAAATGTGTTGTGGTAGGGGACAATGCAGTCGGAAAGACCCGCCTTATCTGCGCCCGGGCGTGTAATGCTACACTCACTCAGTACCAGTTACTTGCTACACATGTGCCCACAGTCTGGGCAATCGACCAGTACAGAGTATGTCAAGAGGTAAGTGGAGAATTTAACCTTTTCAGTTTATTTGATTTTGAATGGTTCATTATGCATGTTTTGTTTGTTTAGGTATTAGAGCGCTCTAGAGATGTTGTGGATGACGTCAGTGTGTCCCTTCGACTCTGGGATACATTTGGGGATCATCATAAGGACCGGCGTTTTGCATATGGGAGGTGAGAAACTATTAAATTCGATGCTGACATACCAGAGCTTATAGTTAATGAAACTTAACTAATTTGGCCTGTATCTTACTTTCAGGTCAGATGTTGTGGTGCTGTGTTTCTCAATAGCGAATCCCAACTCTTTGTACCATGTAAAGACCATGTGGTACCCTGAGATCAAGCACTTCTGTCCGCGTGCTCCTGTCATCTTGGTAGGCTGTCAGCTGGACCTGCGTTATGCAGATCTGGAGGCGGTAAACAGGGCACGGAGGCCATTAGCCAGGTATTATATGTCTGGCCATCTAGGATGTTCAGGGTTGTATGTCAGTGAGTTGAATTTCCTCTGTGACATGTTTTCCTTGTTTCAGACCTATTAAATCCAATGAGATTCTTCCTCCAGAGAGAGGCCGGGAGGTGGCCAAAGAACTGGGAGTCCCATATTATGAAACCAGTGTTGTTGCTCAGTTTGGTGTCAAGGACGTCTTTGATAATGCTATTCGAGCTGCTCTCATCTCACGCCGCCATCTGCAGTTCTGGAAATCTCACCTCAGAAATGTTCAGCGGCCTCTCCTTCAAGCGCCCTTCCTGCCACCGAAACCTCCCCCACCTATAATCACTGTGCCTCCTCCCCCTTCCACCACAGAGGAGCATCCGGTTGGTCTTCTGGAGGACCCACACTGTGCTGATGTCATCCTGGTTGTGCAGGAGCGACAGAAAATCTTTGCACATAAGATATACTTGGCCACGTCCTCCTCAAAGTTCTACGACCTCTTCATTATGGACACGCAGAACGAAGAGAGTGAAAAACCCGCCCGGGGTCCTCTCTGTGGAAGAGAGCTGCTGATGCGCGCTGCTAGCTTTGATGTTTGTGAGAGCAGTGACGATGGAGACAGGGCCAACCTGAGAGCGTGCACGAGTGACGGCACCTTGAAAGACTGCGAGGGGGGTCGACGAGGCAGGCTGCTCTCCTCATGGAGTCGCGCTTTTATCAGCATCCAGGAGGAGCTGGTAGATGACCCTGTAGCGTACAGCCCCAGACTCATGACCGTAGTACACATGGACCAGTCAATCCAGCTCAGTCCTTTTCGAGCAGTACTGCGCTACCTGTACACCGGTCAGCTAGATGAGAATGAGAAAGACCTCATGCAAATTGCACACATCGCTGAACTGCTGGAAGTGTTCGATCTGCGGATGATGGTGGCAAACATCCTCAACAACGAAGCCTTCATGAATCAAGAAATTACCAAAGCCTTCCATGTACGGCGCACAAACCGAGTCAAGGAGTGCTTGGCCAAAGGCACCTTTTCTGGTGAGTTAAAAGTGTTTCTGCTCGCTCACGTGGCATGCTTAGAGCAGACTTTGCACAGTTGTGAATATGGTCTTACCAGCGATTTACTGCTTTTGCAGATGTAGTTTTCAAACTAGATGATGGGACGATCATGGCTCACAAGCCTTTGCTCATCTCTAGCTGTGACTGGATGGCAGCTATGTTTGGCGGACCTTTTGTTGAGAGCTGCACCAAGGAGGTAAGTCCAGTACAGAACTAAACATATTCAAAATATGTGTTAAACACTTTAAATGTTACAACTGCACCAAGACAACGATCAACTCGTTCATTTTAGCAAAACACTTATAGACAAGTTGAGAAAAGTATACAGTTTTTCACTTAGTACATTGCAACCACTTTTAGTCGAATCAAACTGTCTTGTGATGCAAACATACTGCAGACCTGTGAGTTAGGCTACTTTCAATTTTTATGATTAAGAGAATCTAATATTTTATACAAAATAATAAAAAACGATGATTACTAGCGATCCGGGCAGCACGGTGGCGCAACTGGTAGAGCTGCTGCCTCTCAGCGAGCAGGTCCTTGGTTCAAACCCCGGTCCGGGGGCCTTTCTGGGTGGAGTTTGCATGTTCTCTCCGTGCATGCGTGGGTTTTCTCCGGGTACTCCGGTTTCCTCCCACAGACCAAAAACATGCATGTTAGGCTGATTGGTAACTCTAAATTGTCCCTAGGTGTGAGTGAGAGAGTGAATGGTTGTTTGTCTCGTTTGTCTCTATGTGGCCCTATGATGGACTTGCGACCCGTCCAGGGTGTACCCCGCCCCTCGCGCAGTGATTGCTGGACATGGGCACCAGCGACCCCCGTGACCCAAAATGGAATAAGCGGGTAAAGATAATGGATGGATGGATGGATGGATTACTAGCGATATTTAAGGTACTTAAAAAGCTCTGTTATACATTAACTCTGGGTCCGTTTAAAACACATTTTCTTTGTTTTTCATCAGTGCTGTTACAGATAAATTAGATACAACTGAAGAAAAAAATCACTTTGTTTTAACTTGTCACATGTTCATACAAAAATAAAAAGTACTTTTCTTTTCACTACTTTCTTTCAAAAAAAAAAAAAAAAAACCCACACAATATCCATGTTTTCAGTGCTGTTAAAATAATTGTTTGTACGGTGTTCCTGCATCATCTTTCATCAGTCAGCTCTGGCTGGTCAGAGCTGACTGATTCAAGATAATAAAATCTTAGCAGATGCAGATTTTTTTGTTTAAAGTGCATTAATCTAGCTGTTTGGTATCATGCAAATCAGTTTTTTATGGTGATGCAAGATCTGATACTTCAGTTGAGAATGGACTTTAGCACTCCAAGGAGTGCACAACACACTAAAAGCAAAGTATTTTCACATGGCAGGTGTTTTTTTTAATGCAAACCAACAAAATCTCTGAATCTTCATGTAATGTGTTGCGTTTTTGTATCTTAGGTGCTGCTTCCCAACACAACTCGCAACTGTATGAGGGCTGTGCTGGAATATCTCTACATGGGCAGGTTTTGTTCCCGACCCGACCTGGATGCAATGGAGCTGATTGTTCTTGCCAATCGCCTTTGCCTCCCCCACCTTGTCGCTCTTACAGGTAGCAAACTACTAAGTAACGCTTCACATGTGTTTTCAAGTCAGCCACTACAGTATGTGACTGTGTATTTTCTGGTTTGTTTGTTTTTCAGAGCTTTACACCGTAACAGTATTGACAGAGGCAGCCATGATGGGAACCGACATTGATGGTGATGTGCTGTTATACTTGGATATGGCCCAGGTACTATAAGCTGTCACTTATTTAAAAAAATGCATCTACAACTTTTAAATTTGTCTTAACTAACTGGATATTTATTATCAAAGCCATTTCTTAGAGAAATTTGCTGCATAGGATAAAATAATTTTTACAACCAAGTGGAACATAAATTAGTTCTTCAGCCTTCTGTCTGACCTTCTGTACTTGCCTGAATGAATGTCAAGTGGTCTTTGGCTCATTCCATATGATAGACATAGAGCTGAGCATCAGGCATTTGAATATTTGTTCCTTTTTATTATTATTATCTGTTTCAGGTTATTTGATCTACTTACACTTTTATTACCTTCAACTTTATCAATCAGGCAAAAACTACATTATTAATAACTATTTGATGAGTTGCTAGTTTTGTTGCTAACAGTATTAGTAAATTAGTAATACTAATAGTGATCTGTGAAATTTAAAATTGGGTAAACTAAAGCAGAACAGGTCTTTGGGTTAAGACATATGAGCTGACACTAAAAGTATGACACAATGCATGTATTTTTCACTAAACTCAGAGATACTTTAATAACTTCAAGTTTATTTTTCTCTGGGACGATACAAATATCAAACTGCTAGAATGTGTATGCTCTTAAAGTGCACGTCTGAGTGCAGCTGAAAACCTCTGTCAAGACAGATCTTCTTATCAGGCAAATCGTTGGTTACGTACTGTAACCCCAGATTCTGAGTATAGGCACAGCCCTTTAAGGCTATCGCTAGTGGGTTTATCCCTTCGCGCACAGCGCAGCACTGAAAACTTAAGTCCACGCCCACCTGCTGTGTGGGCCTCACCCCCGGTCCTTATAAAGTACGGTGAGACCGGGTAATTGGCTCCCAAATAGCTTTTTTTCTTCAGCCATTTAGGAACCAGTGAGGCCCAGAGCTTAAAGGGCTGCGCCTATACTTATAGAATCTGGGGTTACAGTACGTAACCAATGTTTTATTTCGTATAGGCTTCGCCCTTTAAGGCTATCGCTAGTGGGTTAAAGGCGAAGCAGGATGTAGTCTATGCCTCATTGGGTCCATTCAGACACAATATGAAGCGCCCACTTGCACCCAAAAACATTTCATCAACTCCATGCCCAGGAGTGCCCCTGGAGAGAAAAGGTCTCTGATGGGGGAAAAAGGGGAGGCTGAAATGCAGTCCTGCTGCTGAGAATGGAAAAGAACAGAGGTTACGAATTGTAACCGTGTAACAGTGAGCAGAGCAGGTCAACAGCTCTTCAATATGAACTGATTAATAACAAATGAACTGATTAGTAATCAGATGAACTGATTGGTAACAATAGCCATGAACTGGATTAGTAATAATAAAAACAGCAGTCATGAACTTGTGACAGATAATAAATGTCTCACACAGTAATTGTCAGATGTGAGTTTAAAACGAAATTCCATGAAACAAGTAAAATTCATTCTGTTAGAACACTAAGAACAAAATGGGGCATGGAGAAAGCGGAAATATCATGCAGATAAAAGCGAATAAATGAACAAGGTGGTGACCAAGCGGCCGCCATACAAATGTCCTCCACTGTCATCCCTCCATGCAAAGCTGTAGAGGATGAAATCCCTCTGGTGGAATGAGCTCTGAGATTCTCTGGAGGATCCAATCCAGATGCTCTGTAAGCTTCAGAAATAGCCTCACACAGCCAGTGTGAGAGGTGCTGAGTGGATAAGGGGCGACCTGCAGAGATGTCCCTATAATGCACAAACAGACGTTGAGTATGGCGCAGAGGGGCCGTGCGTGCTATATAACATGCCAGCGCGCGCACGGGACAGCGGAGATGAGATGATGCTTCCTCCTCTGATTTGTGAGGAGGAGGATAAAACCCCTCCAATGTTATCATTCTTGATTTAAATGAGCTTGTGATGTTTTTTTGGTATGAAAGCTGGGTTAGGTCTCAGCGCAGCTGAGCTGCCATCAGCTTGAATCCTGAGGCATGACGGGGCAGCAGAGAGCGCAGATAAATCGCTCACTCTCTTTGCCAGTGACAGGAATTTAAGTGAAACCTGATATAAAGGCTCAAAAGGAGCTTTAATCAAAGCTCGCAGAACCATCGTTAGGTCCCACTGTGGCGCTAGTGGGCGTGACACCGGTCTGTGTCTCCGTACACCTTTTAGGAAACGTTTCATTAGCGGGTGATTAAAACTGTTCTGTCACCAAAGCCCTCATGACAAGAAGAAATAGCTGCAGCATAAGTCTTAATTGTGCTGAACACTAGATTTCTGTCCATCAGCTGCTGCAGAAAGAACAGCATGCCACCTAGTGGACATGAGATGGCCTCTACACCTTTTTCCGTGCACCAGCGCTGAAAAGCTGTCCACTTTGATGTGTACAGCGCTGTCGTGGAAGTGGCTCATGAGTCTTGGATTGTGCGCACCACTTCTTGAGAGAGACCCATTTTCTCTAAGCGGATCCGCTCAGCGGCCAGACCCAAAGGTGCTGGCCTATTTCTGGGTGACTCCTGATCGCTCTTCCCACCTGGAGGAGAGCATCGTCCCTTCACGGCAGTTTGCATGGCCAGCCCGATAACAGACGTTACAGGTTTGGGAACCACGGGGCGCTCACGCGCTCGGGGGCTACAAGGATGGCTGACAGTTCTTCCTCCCGGACTCGGTTCAGAAACCGTGATATTAGAGGGTCTGGAGGAAACGCGTAAAGGTGCATTTTTGGCCACGGGCTGTGGGCAAAAGCGTCCACTCCTAACGGTGGGTCGTCCCGTGGGCTCATTGAGAACCATAATTGACACTGGGCATTCTCCCGTGTGGCGAACAGATCCACTGCTGCTTGGCCAAACCTGCTCCAAATCCGAGAAATCAGCTCGGGATGGAGGCTCCAGTCTCCGTGGTGAGGACCGCCCCTCGACATTATGTCCGCTCCCCTGTTCAGGATGCCGGGGCTGTACACTGATCTGACAGAGAGCAGGTTTTTGTGTGCCCAACACAGCAGCTGTCTCGCAATGCGTAACAGTTGGACTGAGCGCACGCCTCCATGCTGGTTTATGTAAGCTGCAGTAACTCTGTTGTCTGTGTGGATCAGAACATGTTGATTCTACAACAGGGGAGCAAAGGGCTGAATCACTCCAAACTGTGAGACATTCTAAGACGTTTATATGAGCTGACGTGTGAGCTTGCTACTGTACCCCCACCGCTTGAGACAGGCACGTTCCTGCCCAGCCTGACAGGGACGCGTCTGTGAAAACTGAGAAGTGTGACGTAGGCCTGCTGATAGGAACTCTCTCTGACAGAGTGAGGGGGTTTCTCCAGTGATTCAGGTCGATTCCCACGGAGGGGGGCACAGAGATCATCCACCTCTTCTGACGCACCGGATCTATGCGGAGGAGGGCGAACCATCTCTGAAGACGTCTCATGTGAAGTAAGCCCAGTGGAACCACAGCGTGAGCTGAAGACATCGTTCCCAAAAGTTTCATGACCGAGACAGCTGTTGCTACACTGCGGGGTTTGACGCGGCAGAGCTGAGCTGTCATAGAGCGTCGGCTGTGATAAGTGGCTCTCATAGTGACTGAATTTAGCTCCACTCCCAGATAAACGATCATCTGGGACGGGAGAACCAAACTTTTTTCCCAGTTTATAGCAAACCCCAGGTTCAACAGTTGTGACATCAGCGTGCTGATTTGTGCAGCTGCTTCCTGTCTGGACTGAGTTAACAGCAGCAGATCGTCCAGATAGAAAATAATTCTCATTCCTGCTCTGTGTAACGGCTGCAGAGCTGTCTCCACGCATTTTGAAAACGTGCGTGGGGCGAGGGAATAACCGAACGGGAGCCTGTTGTATTGGTACTTGGTTCCCTGGAAGGAAAAGCGCAGGAATTTCCTGTGTTTTGGAATGATTGGGATGTGAAAATAAGCGTCTTTTAAATCTATGGAGGTAAACCAATCGTTCTGGTGAATGTTGTCCAACAGCTGTTTGGTTGTCAGCATGTGGAATTGTCTCTCCATGATCGATTTGTTGAACTTGGACAAGTCGAGGATGGGTCTCATCCCTCCATTATTTTCAGGACCAGGAAGTAAAGTGAGTAAAACCCTGCGTTTTCCTCTCCACTGGGAACCCTGGAAATTACATTTTTTATCAGTAGTTCCTGAACTTCTGGGTGGAGAAACGAGTTCTGTTCTGGAGATGACAGAACCGTCTCTATAATCCCTATGAACGGTGGGGGTTGAGCTGCGAACTGCAGCGTGTAACCCCTGCTGATCAGATGGTCCATCCATCTGTCCAGGAAACACACTCGCTGCCACTCTGCGTAACGCTCGTGGAGCAGGCACGCGTTTTTGTGTTGTGTCATGTCTTTTACGGACGTCAGCCAAGTTAATCGGCAGCTTCATCAGGTGGCGCACAGTTTCCGACACCTCCTCTGATTTCTTCGACTTTTCAAGCATGGCCTTGAAATTGGCCCAGAACAGCGCACCCGTCGTGATGGGGCCCTCCAGCAGGTCCTTCTGCAGCCTCTCCGGCATGGATGGGAAGAGTCGGAGCCAGGTGAACCTCTGGATCATCGTCATCCAGGCGGTGATGCGAGACAAGCAGACCACAGAGGAGGCACACAAGTTCAATATGTCGTCAGACGCCTTGCAGAGCGAGCTCTTCATTTCCTCAGGCAGGTCTGTGTCCTCCACCCCTGTTCCAACATTACGCTCTCCAGGAGGGAACAAGCAGCGGGCTGCTGCTGACATTGCCTTTTCTGGAGGAATCATCTGATTCACTCTGTGACTCAGCATCAAAAAAGACGATGGCGTCGTCCAGCGAACAGTCCCCTTCCACGGAAAAACACTCCTCTCTGTTAGCATTGAACAAGGTTGCTCATCTCTGCTTCTCCTCAGGAGGGAGGAGGTCACAGGGATGGCAGTAGGAGGCGAGGTCGGCGTGGCGGGGACCCAGGCATACTTCGCAGATGTTGTGCTGGTCAAATCTCAAAATGTAGCCGGTCTGGCAGGACGGGCACAGGCGGATGGTGCTGGTGCTGGACATCTTCTTCTCGAAAAACAGTTCTGGTTGCTTGCTGAAGAAAAAATGGGAGCCGATTACCCGGTCTCACCGTAATTTATACGGACCGGGGGTGAGACCCACACAGCAGGTGGGCGTGGACTAAAGTTTTTAGTGCTGCGCAGCGCGCAAAGGGATAAACCCACTACCGATTTTTCTTAAGTTTCAATGAAAAGATGTCTGAAGTCATGTTGTTCCCTCCCAACGACACGATCACAAACCACTGCATCGACCTTCCGCTCTAACCCTGTCAGAAAACCAAAGAGTCACTAATCTGGGCGTGATAATGGACCCTTCCCTGAAACTTAACAATCATGTAAACATGATTGTTAAATCATGCTTCTTCCAACTGAGGCGGCTGTCTAAACTGAAGCCCATATTGTCCAAAAAGGACCTGGAGACAGTAATACATGCATTCATTACATCTAGGCTTGATTACTGCAATTCACTCCTGTTTGGTATCAGTCAGACCTCCATTACACGACTACAACTGGTCCAGAATGCAGCAGCCCGATTTTTAATCAGTACAGGCAAAAGAGAGCACATTACACCAGTTTTGGCCTCACTGCACTGGTTACCGGTTCACTTTCGAATCCAGTTCAAAATACTCATGTATGTCTACAAATCACTGAACAGTGTCGCCCCCCCCCCCCCCCCGCCCCCATCTCTCTGATTTGCTACAACCGTATGTCCCACCATGCTCCCTGAGGTCAGCGGACCAGTTGCTCCTCACAGTTCCAGGAACTCGTCTTAAGCGCAGAGGTGACAGGGCCTTCTCTGTAGCAGGACCAAGACTCTGGAACGAGTTACCTCTTCTTGTCAGACAGGCCCCCTCCTTCTCGGTTTTCAAGTCCCGTTTAAAAACTCACTACTATTCAATAGCTTTCAACACAAGATGATCTCTGTTTTGATCCTGTGTGCTCCACACTGGTTTGTCGTCATTATCTGCATCGGTTTTTGTCTATATTCTGATTTATCGCATTTTGTATTTTGCTTTGTGTGTTACCTGTTGTTTTGTCTGTACAGCACTTTGGTTGGCCTTGTTGCTGTTTTAAGTGCTTTATAAATAAAGTGGTATGGTATGGGGGCAGCACGGTGGCGCAACTGGTAGAGCTGCTGCCTCTCAGCGAGCAGGTCCTTGGTTCAAACCCCGGTCCAGGGGCCTTTCTGGGTGGAGTTTGCATGTTCTCTCCGTGCATGCGTGGGTTTTCTCCGGGTACTCTGGTTTCCTCCCACAGACCAAAAACATGCATGTTAGGCTGATTGGTAACTCTAAATTGTCCCTAGGTGTGAATGAGAGAGTGAATGGTTGTTTGTCTCGTTTGTCTCTATGTGGCCCTGTGATGGACTTGCGACCCGTCCAGGGTGTACCCCGCCCCTCGCACAGTGATTGCTGGACATGGGCACCAGCGACCCCCGTGACCCAAAATGTAATAAGCGGGTAAAGAAAATGGATGGATGGATGGATGGTATGGTATGGTACCGATAGCCTTAAAGGGCGAAGCCTATACAAAATAGAACTTAATTTGAGATAATCAAAAAAACATTTTTAATATATATGAATAACATTTCTTTTAATCACAGATTCATAATCAGTTTTCGATTAATGTAAATATTAACCTCTTTTGGTTCAAAAACATCTGGTCCTGCACAAACATGACAACTTTATATTTTTTGCCACAGTTCCATGGTGCCCAGCAGCTCACAGGATGGTGTCTGCACCACATCTGCACCAACTACAACAGCGTCTGCCGCAAATTTCCACGTGAAATGAAGGCAAAGTCTCCAGGTGATAAATATATATATTTGATCTGCCAACACTATGATACTGTTTTTTATTATTTCTACTGAATATCCAGCTGATTTGCATACTGTCAAAAAGCAACACAAGTTCTTCAATGCAGAAGCAAAATAATCTTTGAGGACATTTCCACCTTTCTAAACCTGGCTGTATCAATTTACAATTAGGAATCTCTACAATTAAAGTTTACTTCTTGTGCTATACTGACATGATCAATAATCCATAAAGATAGTGTACAGTAGTCCCTCGCTACTTCGCAGTTGGTTTATTGCGGCTCGCTTTTGGAGTCAGCCTCCCCACCATCACAGACATTTACACCTCTAGGTGGAAGAAGAGGGCCACCTGCATCATGAAGGACCCCACTCACCCAGCACACATACTTTTTGCCCTGCTCCCCTCAGGAAGGAGGTTAAAGAGCATTAAGTGTAGAACCACTAGACTGAGGAACAGCTTCTACCCTGAGGCTGTTAGACTCATGAATCTCTAACCAGAATAATTACTGTGAAAAATCACATCATGTTGCTGCTGATCTGGTCCATGTTGATGTGTTCATGCGTGCTCATCTGCTCACACAGACTCATGTTCGTGCTGCTGTTCGACGTAATGTTTTTATGCTATTAGTGCTTAGTGTATTCTTTAGGTGATGTTTTTCTTAGTTCATATCTTAGATCTTATTGCTGTTTTTCTTTTCCATTTTATTGTTGTTTGTAACTGGGACCCTGCGTACATAATCTTGTTCCACCACATGTACCATAGGAGATGCGAATGACAAATAAATCTCCCCAACTCTGACTTGATCGCGGTTTTTCAAATTAAGACATGACACACTATTGGCCGACTGATGGATGAGCTGCACGTTCGGCGTGAAAATTTTATTTAAAATAAATAATTTAGCACCTGCCCTGTGATGGACTTGCGACCTGTCCAGGGTGTACCCCGCCCCTCGCACAGTGATTGCTGGACATGGGCACCAGCGACCCCCGTGACCCAAAATGGAATAGACGGGTAAAGATAATGGATGGATGGATGGATGGAATTTAGCACCTCCTGCACTTTTGTGCAGCCCACACTGCTGGATAAACTTCCTGCAGCATCTGATCAGCTGTTCACTGTGCATAGCAGAGAAGTGGGCGTGGCCAAGAGCGCTGCAGGTGGCAAAGAGCAGTGGAGGCAGGGAGCTGAAATCATGACATTCTGTGCTCTTTTACAGCATTTAGAGTTTAGAAACATTGTTTAGAATATTGCAAGAGTGTGGGTTTAAAACACCTTTATATATATATATATATATATATATATATATATATATATATATATAT